GGACCGAGTTCACCCGACTGCGCAGGCTCGGCGCGCGGCCCCCACTGGACATGCGCATGGCCCTACCTCCAGGTGCGGCTCCGCGCGTCTGGCGGGGGGCGGGGCGGCGAGGAGGAGGGGTGAGGGGCTGGGTCCCCAGGGCGGCCGGCCCTGCTCGGCCCAAGCTCGGTCCTGCCTCCGTCCGTCCCCCCCTGATCTTACCTGTTAAATGTCCGTATTCCCGTGCCAGCCTCTGCAGACCGCTTCCGCGAGGGCAGGTTTGCCTCCGGTGTCGCCGTCCACCGGGCCGTCGTCCTGATGCCTCCCTCGCCAATCAACGCAACCCATTGCCAAGGCCTGTGGATCTGCCTTCCTAGACAGGGTCTCTCCCAGCCATTCCCGTTCTTAATCTCCGCCCCTCTCCAGTTTAGGTGAACTAGAAGTAAAGGTTTTCAGCCCGAGGTCTGCCCTGACCCAACTGGTTCCGCCGCGTGCATCCTGCTTTCTTCCAAACCAGCGGGAGTTTTTAGGACATGCAGCGCCTATTTAGTCAGGGGCACTGACTCTTTCCCCCTCAGGTCGTCAAATAAAGGATGACCGCAGCCCTGGCGGGCTTGGCCAGCGCGACAGCGTGCAGTCCGGGTTCCAGCCGCCGAGCTCCGGCGCCTCGGCCGCAGGCTCGGTCCTGGCCCGGTGGGCGCGCGTGGGAGGCAGCCAGCCCGCGCATCCATGTGTCTCTCTCCTTCCCACTCTCTGGAAAGCAGTGGGAAAGTACCCTAGGGTGAGGGTACAATAATAGCTGTCTGCTGTGGATGAATCAAAATTATACCTTTTTTTTTTTTGTAAGATCAGCAAAAAATGTAATACATGTTTTGGTGTGCCGCAGAAATGTAGTAATTAGTTTATGTGTTCCATGAGATGGAAGAGGTTGAACATCGATAATCACTGCTACGAAGGATTCTCGATGGAGCACTCAAAGTGATCTTCACAGAGAGCAAATGTGATCAAACCACTACTCTGCTTCGAACACGCAAAGGCCATCTGTTGGCCTCTAGGCAAAACCCCCAAACCATACTGAGGCTTTCTAGACCCTTCAGCGTCTGCGTCCTGCATACTTCTCCAGCCATGTCTTGAAACCTCCACCTCACTTCCTGCTCCAGACCCAATTTTCTGTGTGTGTGTGTGTGTGTGTGTGTGTGTGTTTTTATTTTAGAGAGAGGAACGGAAGTGGGGTGGGGGGGGGGAGATTTGTTCTGCGTATTTGTGCATTGATTTTTTTAAAAATGTTGATTTTTAGAGAGAGGAAGGGAGAGGGATAGAGAAATAGAAACATCATTTTAGCCCACAACCCAGGCAGGTGCCCTGATTGGTAATGGAACCAGTGACCTCTTGGTGCCTGGGTCAACCACTGAGCAACACTGGCCGGGCTCATTGGTTGATTCTTGCATGTGCCCTGACCGGAAATAGAACCTGAAACATTGGCGCATAAGGACAATGCTCTAACCAACTGAGCTACACAGCCAGCAGCCCCAAATTTGTTTGTTTCTCCACCATGCCTAGCTCGCCACCTCTTACCTCTCCTGCTTTCTAGTTGCTATTTCCTCTGCCTGGAACAATCTTCCATTTTTCCCCCTTACACATGTACTTGTCTGATTGCTAATTCTTCTTCTGGTCTCAACAAATAGGCTTTTTTCCAAGAAGTCATTCTTGGCATCACTTTCCTGTGCACCCCATTACAGCTCTATCGTGTATTGTATTTGCCGGTTTCCTTGTCCGCACTCCGCGCCACCCAGTTCAGTGAGAGGGCAGGGCTGGCATGTGTTCTTCGCCATTGTAATTCCACCACTTAGCCAGTGGCCAGAACTCAGCAAGGATTCAAAACAGACTTGTTAAATAAATGCTGCACCTAGGTAATGTTCATTGGGATTAATAGTTATTTTATTGTTATACTTTTCTAACCTAAAAATAAGCCTATATAATTTATGTAATAAAACACATTAAATGTTCAATATAAATAAAATAAAGATGCGATTAAAAATAGCAGTCAGCCCTGACCAGTGTGGATCAGTGTGTCAGCCTGAGCAGCAAAGGGTCCCAGGTTTGATTCCTGGTAAAGGGCATGTACCTGGGTTGTGGGTTCACTTCCCATGCCCCCATGGGAGGATGTGTGTCTCTCTCACATCCATGTTTCTCCCCCCACCCCGCTTCCCTCCCTCCCTCCCACTCTCTGAAAAGCAATGGGGGGGGGGGA